AACAAGGAGTATTCTAACTTCCTCCCCAGGAGCAGCAATTCAGGAGATCTGAGTGAAAGTATAACCACTGCTAGAGATGACAGCTAGAGAATCTGGCTCATTCCTGGGTCTCAGTGAGTGTGTGAAGATGAAGGGAGCAAGAAAGGAAAAGGCTACAATGAAAGCTAGTTTGTTTCCTATGGAGTTGGCATTCCAGAGGGCACAGTGGAAGGCTTGGCAGCTTCAAAGTGGAATGCAGATGGAATGTGTGAGAGGCTGTACTGTAGAAGACAGATTAAACTGGGAAGATCTGGCCCCATATGGCAAAGGCAAACTTAGGCTGGATGTCAAGAAAAATGACTGGTGAGAGTTGCCCAGAAGTGGAGGAAGGGCTTGCTTTGTCCCTGGAGGTGTTCGAGCTGAGGCTGGAGAACTGCTTGTCAGATATGTTCTGGTGGGGACTTCTTCCAGCATGGATCCAATTAGATTATTGCTCAGAGTCCCTTTCAGCTCTCAAATCCCCTAGTTCTGTGTGTGCGTAAAAATACCCAATACAGGGATCACATCTGAGAGTATGTTCAGTGTCCTGACCTAGTACCCCCCACTACTCTGCCAAGAGGAAAGAGGGTACATCTCATTATTTCTTCACTGAGATCTTCATTGGTTTTTCCATTAATCAAAGGTTCAGCTTCCTTTTAGTAATCTTTTCATTTGCATTGATATAGTCATGGTGTATATTCAACCAGGCCATTTTCTTTTCTTAATTATAGTGTATGTGTAAAAGGAAGAATTTACTTAGAAAGAATAAAGCTCTGGCACGTTTGGTACAGGAGAAATAGAATATCAATAATATTCAGGCCTCTTCTGGTGGCTTCTGTTTCCCCTAATACCTGGCCTCAGAGCTAAACATCTTGTGTTTGTTTTCAGAGTCTCAGTGATTCAGTACTTGTGTATTGGTGGGCACATTTATATGGACCTCTGTGTGTACAAATAGGTGTCTGTGTAAAAATGAGTGTGTACAGTTAAGGATATATGTCAGTTGAGTGACATATGAAATATGGGAAGGTTGTATAGAAAAGAATATGTATACACAGCACTGTTTATGAACAGGTGTACGTGTGTATGCAAGAGGTCGGGGAACCTGTCTTCTCTAGCCTATTTTGTTAATGGCTTCTAGTGTTGTTGGACCTTAAACTAGTGAGTTGAGGGGTAGACTAGAGAGGGGATAGTGCCCTTCACTGACTCATAAGGGAACTCTTAGAGTTATAAGATACAACCTACTCATGTTACAGAGGAGGGAAACTGGGACTCAGAGAGGGGTAATGACTTGTCCATGGTCATACATACAGCAAGCTGGTGGAAGAGCCAGAATTAGAACCTAGGTATCTTGACTCTGAGATTTGTTCTTTTTCCATTTTACCATATTCAGACTAGGATTCTTTGAGCATCTCTGGAGTCTGAGAAGGGCTCCTTAGTAGTGATATTGTGGGGATTCCTGTGTGAAGATTATGGTGGGAGCCCCACTCCTTATAACCACTCTCCCTACCTTGTAACCCAAGAGTCATGAAGAGTAGCACTTTGGAAATCATAAAGCATGATATGAATGTCAGCCATCACTTCCCTGTCTGGGGCTCTCTGCACTTTGTGACGCCCCACACTTCCCTAGCCTCATTCCGGCTCTCCTCCATAGGCCATTGGACTTTAAGATGAGAGAGAAAGGGTGAACCAGGCTTTGAAGATGACAGCAGTTGGAAGTGTGCATGTACAGACCTCGTTGTAGCATTCAAGTCTGGGAGTCCCCACGGTGCTGTGGTAATGCTCAGGAGGTCTTTTCCACAAGTGCCAGGTGTAGGGGCCACTAATGGCCCAAACCGAAATAGAGCCACTTCTCCTGACCCCATAATTACCAAAAAGACTTTGTGTGGCAGAGCTCGAAGTCATGGGACCTGGAGCCCTGTATCTTACGGTGGCAGGCAGGACTCTGGGGAAATTGCCTACAGTTAGGCTTGTCTGGTAATAGAGTAGGTCTCATTTGAAGCAACTCCTAGTATAACTGCTGATTAGAAAGTCAAATGCAGTTCTTCTGAGATCCTCTGGGTGAGCTCCAAGTGCAAGGAATCTGCTAGAGGCGTTGTAATACCCCGGACAGAAGAGCCCATTCCCTTGCCTGATATCAAGTGCCATTGACTTCCTGATGCCTGGTTGTCTGGAAAGCTCTCTGAGTGGCACCACATTCCCAGCATATACTAGGGTCTTGCATATATTTAGTACTTCAGTTGTTTGTTGAATTGACCTATGAGACTAAGCTTCCAAAGTAGCCCTAACCTCTCCTGCCTCTTCCTTCCCATTTCCCAAGTCTCACTGTTCCCATGAGGCACAGGGCGAGACTTCCTGCCACACTGAGTGGAGCTTCTTGACCGAGGCATTTCCCCTAGTGCTGAGGCCTCCTGTGGCAGAGGACAAAGCAAGAAGGAGCCCTGCCTTCACACCAGTCCATCCAACCCTTGGGACTGTGCATGTTTTTCTGTGTCTTAGCCTCCCTTTTCTGTGTACTGCTTTTTTGTGTCTGTTGGTAAGAAGTTAACACTTCCTTAACAAGTCTTTGTGTTCATCTAATCTCTGCTGTTTAACCTTTGACACTTCCCTATTATCGGTGTCTGCCACCTTTCCGAGGCCCAGCCCAGTGACCCTGTAGCCTCAGGCAGAGGCTAGGAAGAGCTGGAAGAGCAGAAGGGGCCAGCATTTCACCCCTGCGGGCAGGCGGATGGATCGGCTTTCTCTGGGGCAGAGCTTTGGAAAATAAACTAAAGGTTTTGTGCCATTAGTGCCTCAAAGCTGGTGTGTTAAGGAAAGGAACATCCCTTGTTCCTCTCCTTTTGAACTGTCAGCCTTTAAGTAAACATACTTCCTCTCCCGTCCCTCCAGTCGGGTAAAGGAGAGCCCTGGGGAGGAGAAGGCCAGGGACCCTCCCCTGACCCAACCCGGATGGGGGGAGGGGAAAAGTAGAGCAATTGTAGCCAAATGTACCTGGTCATCAAGGCCTTTGAAGTGCTCCCATAGAGAGGCAGCTTCCCCACCCCCAGCCCTGAATCCACATGCCCTCCCCACCCCCTCCACAGGTTTCTACCTGCAGAGTGCTCCTGAGGGCATCTGGGAAAGCAACAAAGCACCTCTCCCCAGTACCTGTCCCTCCCTCCCCATCTTGGCATTCCAGGCTGAACTTCCAGGCTCTGGTGGACAGGGCAGGACTACTAGGAAGGGGACCTTTAGATGCCCAGCCTGGTAAAGGTTAGGGTAAGTGACCACCAGTGTGACCCCATTACCAGGAAGTGAGTTGAGGGTTTGGTGGACCAAATGAGATACCACAAATAAACACTTTGCATAGCTTTAATTGCTCTATATGCCTCCTTGCTGTTCTTTGAACAAGATACTCCATCGGCAGGCATTTTCGCGGACTATCTTCCCCCATCCCCAATACCTAGAATACTCTCCCTCATTTCTGCCTCCTGGCTTCCTTCAAGTCCCAGATGAAAATTCCACCTTTGAGAAGGCTTTCCTTTATTGATTATCTCCAATTTATCTTGTATGTATCTTGTTTATACATAGTTGTTTTTTTTATGTTATCTCCTCCAGAGAGCAGGTTGTCTTTTATTTGCCTTTCTTTGTATCCCCAGTGCTTTGCAGAGTGCCTGGCAGTCAGTGCTTAATAAATGCTTATTGACTGAACTCATTAATAACAAGCACAAGACTAAGAATGAGATCTGGGTACTAGCTCTGGCTGTGCCATCTAAGCTGTGTCACCTTGGGCAAATTTCTTTACCTCCCCCCCCATCCCCACTTGTTTTCTATAAAATCACATCAATGGACTAGATGATCTGAAATGTCTATTTTAGAGATAACTATTCTAATATTTTAGTTATGGTTCCATTACTCAGGGTGTGACCTTGGGTGAGTCACCAACTCTCAGAGAACCTCAATGTCCCCATCAGTGGGAATAGTCTCACAGTTTATCAATTAGCATCCTCTGAGTGATGTCCCTAGGTTACCTCTACCAAACGATAATGAATAACCTAGTGACTGAGTAGACATAGCCTGTTCTTGCTGAGGGTTAGGCAGAATTATCTGAAGATTAATTTTTTGAGGGGAGTTAAGGGTTCAGGTAAGAGACTCCAGCAGGGGAGTCAAGGATCCCAAAGTGAGTTACAGGACCGTTATACAACGACCCCCATAGAGGGGCCATTTGGCTGGGAAAATAATCGTTTTGGAAATGGATAAGTTGTTTTATACTTGCTATTGTCTCTCGTGCTTTGTAGAATAGTAGGGTCAGATGTAGACCTGAGAGGCCCTGGAGTTAACATTATCAAAAGTTTGCTGCCAAGAATCCAAAGAGTGGTAGGATGAAAATAGCACTTGATACTGACCTATTTGCATAATCTAATTATAGCCTCACAACCGGCCTTTTACCTAGGTATCATCTCTGAGTTATAGGTAAGGAATCTGAAGGCCCAGAGGGGAAGTCACTTAATTTGCCTAAAGTCACACAGGCATTCAAGCCTAGACCTTTTGGCTCCATGTCTAATGTTCATTCTAGAGATCTCTTACATGATGGCTGGGGAAGAAGAGAGGGAATAGTGATTTCCCAAGTAGGATGGGTTCTAAGGAACTGCAGCTATTATTTAAGATGGGGATTTGCTTGTTTGGGGACAGAGGGGAGTTTCAGATGTTGAACAGATTTGTAGCCTGTCCCTTCGAACTTCCCAAAGGACCCCATTACCTTGTGAGCTACCCAATGTGGTTATGTCCAGAATGCCACAGTTACAGTCATTTGGCTGTGCCTGCTGCTACTACCTTTACCTTCTTTTTTACCACTTTCCTTCCAGAAAGGAGCACTCGGGCAAGAGCCTCCTGGCCACCACTCTTCCCTGATCTAAAGCTGGGTAGGGGCACAGGACACCCAAGGTTCAAAGTGAGTCATATCTTCTCTCTCACAAGGGCTTGGTTTCTGTGTCAACATCTAACAGGTACTACAAGAAATTCTCCATTCCTGACATGGACCGATACCAACTTCCCCTGAACAGCTCTGCATTGAACTTTGCCTATGCCAACTGCACCCTGATCATCACTGTAAGATCCACCTTCAATATCCTTTATTCTCTCCCCCTTCCTTCCCTCACATAAAGATCCCTGCTTCTTTTCTGATCTGGGGGTATGATAAGTAGGAGGTAGTTTGGGGGAAGTATGGAGTACTAGTCTGTGGGACTGGGGGCATGTGTGCATCGCTGTGGGGATGGGAAGCAACTGTGGGGTCATTATCTAGGAAGAGTAAAAGGCCCCTCCTTGTCCTGATTTATCCCTCTCACCCCCAGTACCAAAAGCCAAAGGAGGTCCTAGATGCAGAGGAAGAGTTGCAGAGAGAGCTGAGGAAGGTGAAGACGGCCAATGGCCAGAATGGGGACTGTAAGACCCAGTAACCAGACCCACTTGTCTGCAGACTTCCTAGCTTGAGATCTCTTGGATCATTTCAGCAAAGGTTCCTGATGACCAGGCCTTGGCTTTGCCCTAACCTGTTTTTGTTTTTGTTTTTTGTTTTGGTTTTGTTTTCTTGTTTCATTTTGTTTTTGTTTTTGTTTTTTGGTGAGGCACTTGGGGTTACACGACTTGCCCAAGGTCAGGTTTTGCCCTTACCTGAAGGAAGACTTGATGGGTTTCAGGATTTATCACACAGACAGATAAAATTGAGCCCTGGAGGCATGCCCTGACCTAAAAATGGTTCTTCCCTGGTCATCTAGGTTTGCTAATTTCCTGAGTAAAGTTGATTTGAATTACCCTTATTCTTAGTGGAGCTTCTTTTGACAAAATCTCAGAGAGATCTCAGAGGCCATCTGGTCCAACCTGCACCAAGAATCTTTTAGGATCACAAGCATGAATCACCTTACCTCTCCCCAGTATGACAGCTTCCAAGCAAGCCTCAGCTTCTGCCCTGGTCTAAGGTCCTTGGATGTACCAGTGTACCACTGGGCAATAAATGCTCCCCTCCCTCCATGCTTTCTGGGACTGTAAATCTGTAGGGGAGGCCTGTGGATCATACCCTTCCTCTCCCTTTATACCCCATCCCCACTTTAATCTTCTACTATTTCAGCACAGCCTGGCCTCCAGTAATCTTGGGTTAATTGAGCAGGAAGCCCAATGGCCAAGAATATGGGAACGATGAGGCAAAATTCTTTCTGGATTTGGGACTTTTTGAATGTTTACATAGAGTCAAGGTTGATGCTAGAGGGGAGGCCTGGTCAAGCCAGCCCAGCCTATCCAGTAGAGTTTAACAAGAAGCACATAGTTCTACGAGTGGGAACACACAGAGCAAGGACTAAATATCCTTTAAGCACATGGAGGAAGTTGTTTAAGTCTGAGCAGTTGGAAATACAGATCGATGGGCAGAGTTGTATGCTAGACCTACCCTCACCCCAAGGCAGGATGGGGATAGGTGATAACACAAGGCTTGTCTGTACAATAACAAAAAAAAAAGACACAAGTAAGCAGAAGTTACAGCTCCTAGAAAGGATATAGAGAGAGAAGTGGAGAGGAGACAGGGAAGAACACGGGACAGTGGCTATACCATAATGTTCTATAAGAATGGAATCTTTCCAGTCCAGTGTCATTAAGGAAGTTCTAGGGATCAAGGTGGAAAATGGGAGCTAAGAATTAGGACCTAGGACTAATTTTCTACCCCTAAAGCAAGCTGAATCTTAACCTGCAATTCTTTCTACGGGTACTAAGAGAGTTGCCAAAATCCACATTAACAGCTGAGGTTTATTTAAAAAAATAAATTAAAAATATAATTTCCCATAGTACCCCACAAAACAGGGCCAGGCCAGAGAGACTGGCTCAGAAATCAATCCAGCTGAATCTCCAGTGTCCTCTGGTTTGCCTAGGGAGCTCAGGGCCTGAAGGCTTTCCAAAAATGAGTCCTACTCTTCTTCCCTCCCCAGGGGTCTGGGCTTGTTTCACCTATACGTGGTCCTGATTGAGTTGAAGATTGATCCCGTCCAGCAGGAAGGATAGTTAGAGAAGAGTAGGTAGGATACATGGGATGACAGGCCAGTTGGGAAGGCTATGAAGGTTTCTTATGTCTTTGCAGGCTGGTCATGGGGGCTCAATGCACATGTTGGAGTACTCATCCACCTGCCCCAAGGTCCTGCAAAGACAGAGTCCCCAGTCCAGACCCCACTCTCTTAGGTTAGCAGGCTCCAAAGTGGTTGGCTGGCTGGATATGGACATAGGGAACAGCCCTTCTCCCAAATGGAAACATTGAGACTACCAAATGCCAATGGTCTTTGGCTTAAAAGCACAGAGTCTGACGATCACAGGGTCACTTGCTGCTCTCTTCAGGCCAGGACTAGGGAGGCTGATCCTGAATAGGCCTTCTACCCGGTCCTGTGTGGGGAGGGGTCAGTTTACTGTCAGGGCAGCCAGTCACGGAGTCTTGAAGTCAAGAACATGGAGGGCAGAGGCTACTGCTGCATAGAGGTGTGTAGTGCTGAAACGTAGGCAGTAAACAGGGCTGCTGGTTGGAGATGACAGCGAGAAGGCCTGCAGATACACGAGAAGGAATGAGAGGTTACACAGGTAAAGGAGGAGAGGTCAGCCCTGACTCCAGGGAGGGGAGATTAAGAACAGGTGCTAGGCTACTGACTCCCATCAAGTCTTGTATCCAAGGATCCCTAACCCTCCTCCCTGACAAGGAGCTGTGGCTGAGTCTGAGCTGTGACCATTTTGGGCATGGGCCCAAGGGAGGGAGTCAAGGCAGGCACAAAGAGACCTGGACTTCTATAAGTGATAGCAGGGATGGTAAGAGGAGGTGAGATACTCACATGCAGGCAGCCTTTCTGGCGTCGGTCCCACAGTCGTACCACACCATAGTAGGAAGAGCCGCTGGCCAACATGTGGTTTCCATCGCTCTGCACACAGTAGAGGGCGCTGTCATGAGGCTCCTCCCACTCCATCACACATTTCCTTTCCAAAAAAGGAACACAGGATGGTCAAAGGCACCGCATCACCAAAATCCACTAATGGACTCAGCACCAAGGAATTCTAGTGCTTTTATATCAAAGAAATAATGATGAGACTGTAGATTACTGGCATAAGAGAAGGTAGAAGCCTAAACTTCCATGTATTTAACAGAAATAGCCTATTGGAGGGAAAGAAATGTGATTTCTACCAAGGGTAATTGTGTCTGACCCCAGAGTTTTTTGAGGGTGAAAACAAAAATGTGGATGAAGAGGACTTGGGGGAGGAGTCTTGCTCGGAGTCCACTGTGAAATCTCTAAGCCTGAAGATAAAACATAATTCTTCGGGGTAGTAGAAAATCAAGATAATGGGAAAGCTATTTAAGGGCTATGTGAATGATCAGAAAGCAGCAGGGGCAGGCAAGCCATGTAGAAAAGTACAGTGTCATCCATATAGGGACTGAAGAGCTCCAAGCTGGGATCTGAGAAAGGCACTTAGGAGCCACTGGACAAGTCTGTCCTGTGGGCGGCTATGGCCACAATGGCCAACACAAGATATGGATAACGATGCCCCACACATGCTCCCAACCTAGATCTCCGTCCACACCTAGACCCAATGCACAGGATGTAATGGAACTGGAAAAAGCCCAAAGACAAACACCTAGAATGACTCACTTAAGGAGTAGGAGGCAAGAAGGGACTGCTGAGGATAAACTGAAAGGACAGTGACTTCAGTCTGTAAAGAAGAAGGCTGAGAGGACAGGATCAAAATCTGTAAAATGATCAGCACTGAGTGAGAGTGAGTGAGGGGGTGTGTGTGTCTGTGTGTGTGTGTGTGTGTGTGTGTGTGTGTGTGTGTAACCACCAAATCCAGAAACTCTAGGATGAGTTACCTGCTTTGAAGCCTGAGAATGTTAAGTTTAGAGCAAATTAAAGGAAGACCTAATTCACCCAGAGGGCTCATTACCTCTAAGAGATATATTACAGGCAGGAAATACACATGGATCCAAGTGAGTTCAGAAAAAAATGACCAATTACAGAGCCAGTAATGTTTGCTAAAAGGAGCCAGGAATGTGCCTGACCTTTGAGGCAGACAATACAGTTCCCCATGGCATTACCCTTGGGGCTTATGTTGGCAGCAGAATCCTGGGCCTGACACGGAGTGACACTGAGGTGCCTATGAGTGGGGACCCAACCCCCTAGTTAACTCTTAAGCCTCCCCCGCAATGGCTAAAACAACCTAGAGCTTTGTGTTCCTTAGCCCCAGCTATAATTATGAGGACAGCTGTGGGGGTAGAAAGCCAGGAATGAGATAGGGCAAGAGCTGTCCAGACCTCCCTCCTGATCCCACCGTTCTGGGTGGCTGTACTCACTGGGAGCTGGTTCGGATATCCCAGTATCGGATATAAGTGTCATAGCCACAGGACAGCAGCGTAGAGGGTGTCTCATACAGGACATCCAGCACTCCAGCCCCTCGGTGAAAGTCCCGGCCCAAGTGTGTCATCAGTTGCCCGCTGAGGAGACAGGAAAAGAGAGATGAGAGGGAAGCATGTCCAGGGTTCAGAAGGCATTCCTGTGAGGCATCATCACCTTATCTACCTCTGGGGATACCACACAACCTTCAAATGACTGGTAACCACAAAAACCCTCTCCTCTGAGAGCCTATACTTTGAGGTGAGGGTGCTATACCTTTCCCCATGGGTCCCCCTAGAAGAAACAAAACAAACACTTAGCTGGTCTGGGTAGGATGGTGACTTTATCTCATCCCAAACCCATCTCTCTGCCATAATGACTTCCTGTTATTTCTACACCTGTACCAGGGGCCAGAGGATATTAGCTAGAAAACTCAGCCCTAGCCTTCCTTTTTCCTTTGCTCAGGCTCTCTCACAACCCCCTAGGAAAGTGCTGAAATGCATCAGGAGTCACACCTGCTTGCCTGGCCGCCTGCTGCCCAGGCTGACTCCATCTCAGGACAATGAATGGGCTATGCCAGAGAGGTCAGGATCTCCCCCCACACATGTGGTTATTTTATAGTCCTTGATCCCATGGGTCACAACAGCTCTGAGCTGCCCAAACCCAATACCTTAATTCCTCCCTGTAATCTGGGGCTCAAACCTCGTCGGGGATAAAGACCACACAAAGGGAAAAGGGGAGTTTCAGGAGATGGTAAAACAAGTAAACACCTTTGTATCTGGGGAGAGAAATCGCTGAGAAAACAGCTTAGCAGCAGGGCCCTGTCGTTCCCAGCTCAGAAGGCAAAAGCCCCCCAGCCCCAGCCCTGGCCCTGGCCTGGCCCCCATCCTTCTCTCTGCAACAGCACGCCTCTGTGATCACAGCTCCTGGCCTGCTGGGCCCAGCCCGCTCCCCCACCCCTGCTCTCCAGAGAGCAGATTACAGGGAATAACAATTTCTTTGTGGCTGTGTAATTCCCTCCGTGACCGCGGCAGTGGGCAGCCACCTAGCCCCTGATGCCAGACCCCTAGCAACCATTTAGGGAAGCCTGCTGGTCCTAACAACGCCCCCCAACATCAAGTGCACCTGTTAATCCCTCCCACCCTGGGTTAGGTTGGGCCACCAGGATATTGGGTTTTGTATTTTTGCAGGACAGAAAAGGAAGAGTTGAGTATTGAAAGCTCCCAACTCCAAAAAGTCTCCAGGCCTGACCTATTAACTCCTTCAGGGAGACACTGAATTGTCCGGTAGAATGTTCACACCTGTAAACAAGTCGGAAGAGTGTCTAGACCTTAGCCTTGGGAAAGTAGGAGAAGATACAGAAACCCTGAGAAGAAAAAGCAATCCTATGAGGGAGGATGAAAAACAGACTAGAGACCCTGAATAACAGCAGAATAACCGAGAGGAGGTGGGATGGCTTGAGTACCATTTGTAGCACAGAATTTTAGCCCCTTGCCTTCAGCCTTGCTGCCTTTAAGCCTGAGGAACTTAGGGCCAATTTAGCAAGTCACCAGAGAGTCTGGAGGAAGACCCTTGATTCAGAAAGATATCCCCCCTGCCCAGCATCCACCCTAAGGGGGAGCACCACTCGGAAGAAGACTTTTCTTTCTCTCATTCCTACACTCCTTATGTGACCCAAGGCCAAGAGAGAAACAGGTTCCTGGGCTACTCAGTGCACACAATGCCACTGCCCAACTTAGAGTGGGGAGAGACAATAAAAGCAGAGGACGTCAGTCTACTGAGTACAGAGATTTATCACACTCGAGGGCTCCCATGGGGAGTCTAGAGCAAGGATGGGGGAGAGAGCCTTGTCCCATAAAATCATCCTCTAGTCTGATCAAACACAGTTCCTTGGCTGGGGCTGGGAGCCTATTTGGAGGTTAGGGATGCCTCAGTTGACAATTCAGCTGTCTGTACTCTAGTGGGTCATATCTCACTGGCAACTGGGCCCCTTGATTGCTTGCACATAGGCTCCCCAGGCATTATGCCACTACGGTTAGAGAGTGGGGTGGGGGGAAAGAACAATTCTCCCTCCACCCTTGGGTTTGGGTCCCGTTTGGTGTACTCCTCCCCCTCCCCACCTCCCATTAGTGAGGTGGTGATGAGTGACTGAGGGGCTCTCTCCTTTAATCTGAAGAAGTAATTTCATGTTTGTTTGTTTGAAATAGAAGATGAAAGGCTATGGGGTGGGAAGCAGGCTTGGAGGGGTAATTGGGGGGAGAGGGGGAGAGCACAGCCCAGCAAGGACTGACTCACCCATTCCAAGGCAGTAGAATCCTAGATGCCTCACCAAAGTCAGTGAGAAAGAGAGATCAATCAAAAGGCAGAAGTGCTATATCCTTACCTAGCAGATCCTAGGACCATGACTTTAAGGAGATGCCATAGATCTGAATGGGTCAGAAATGGGCATGCACCAAGAAACAGCTGGGAATATCAGGATTTGGGCAGCTAATGGAGTTTAGACTATTCCTCTTATTTCCTGGAATATTAGTACCAGAAGCCTTAGGAGTCAGGGACAAGTGCAGAAAGCCCCGAACAAAACATTGTGAACCCAATCCAAGGCCAGCTGCAGAGCCCCGGAAAGCTGGGAGCGAAGCGGGGTCACAGTTAGAGAACAGAGGTGGTCAGGCTAGAAGTTTGTTCCCCCTTTGCACTCGGGTTCTCTGAATTGGCCACACACACTTCAAATGGTCCAATAAAAAGATACAATTTCTTTTACCTTCTTGCACCAGGGCTCTCAAAGTTCTGTTGTGCGGGTGCCCGTGAGGTTAAGTTCAGAGTATAAACGGACACATTGGGCTCTGGGAAATGGCCCTTCTCTTCAAATAGAGCCTCAGCAGTGCCACAGGTCTCCTGCTGGGGCTTTGATTTGGGAAAACAAACAAAAATGGCACCGTAGACACCCCTCCCCCCAGCACACCAGCTCCCCCCATGATCATCCCTACCACCAATTTAACTATAAAACCACTGTTGGCTGCTGGGGCAGAAGAAGACTAAGGGAAGGGGGAGGGGGACCGCCCCGACAATGGCCCCAAACTTTGGGGACAAAACAAGCTGTCTGTCTCCTTGTCCTCCCTACTCCCAGGCTTCTTTTCTTAGCCCAAGTATGTTCTTGGAAAAAACGATTAGATTGTAATTTGTATAACACAGTGACCCCCAAATTCAGACATTTCACCCCTTTTCTCTGCAAAGAATGTCAAGAATGCTCCTCAGCCTCTCACCATCCACAGGAGGAGGAGGGGAGGAGGGCTGAGTCCCTGGCTTCTAGCACCACTTGTGTGGGAACTGGGCAGCCATGCTGGAGCCCCTCTGGGTTGGGCGGGGAGTGAGGGAGAGCACTGGAGGTCTCCTTTAGTGGAGCAGACAAAAACCTAAAATAAAATCTGGATCCCAAGGCAAACAAAGCCATCTGCTTTCGTTAGGTATCTGGGTAGTGTGTAAGGGGGACTCCCCATTCACCTCCTTTTCTCTCTTGATCACTAATTCTCTTTCGACCCAGGGAAAGATAAAGACAGATTGGACCATGTCTGTGAGCCTGATGAATGAGGCACTACTAAGGGTTGGCTGGGATGGAACCTTCTCTTCACTCCCTCCTTTTAGGCTGCTGTTTTCCAGGAGGCCTAAGAAGTAAAGCTAGATGCTAGTTCTACTTTGCCCTCATGCCTTCAGGTGCCTCCTCAGAACGGGCATCAGAAAAAAAGGATAGTCGCCCCATCCTAGCAAACTTAGTTGCCCCACACACAATAGCAAGAGAATTGGGTTGGATCCAAAAGGGAATATCTCGACAGCCAATCACAGAGGGAGAGGATTAAAAAATATTTGTGGTGAAAAATCTTTACTTCAGGACAAATGAGGGCATACTTAGCTAAAGGTAAGGGGCTGACCCTGAAGGCATAGAGCCTCCTTGAAAGAGTAAGTTTTCAATATCCACTGCCTCGGAGCTAGAGCTATTTGGAGAGACCTACAGAGAACAGCGTCCCAAGGGGAAACCCATACCATTCCCACCAATGCAACAATGACGAAGCAGCTGTACACTTAAGGGGGAAGGAGATAATTAAGACCAATGAGGAGCATGAGATGCCCCTCAAGGTCCCAAATCCAAGGCTTCCTTGGACACAAATTCTCCTGCTCATTTCCAAAAGACCCACTCACCAGCTCTTTTTGTCTAGTCCCACCCCAAAGTTGTACACATTCCAGGAAAGGTTTCTGCTACTGTACCAGCTCCTCTCCGAAAGCCTACTTCTTACAAGAAGCTTTCCTGGATCCAAACTTACCTGATCAGGAAACTCCCAAAATTCTCACTTCACTCCTTACCCCACCTCCCATGCACTTAATCCTTGTCTTGTTTCTATTTTTGCTGTTTTCCCCCCTATATCACCATGTTTTTGCTGTCAATTTCGTGTTTTATGTCTGTATGAGATTGTAAAATTCTAAAGCATAAGTATGCCCCACCCACGGTGCATTTAGGTGCAATAAAGACTTTCAGAGATTAGAATGGAACACAGAGTGAGGACAATGAAAGCTCTATTCTCACAATAGCCCCACATCAATGAATGTATGTCCTGCAGGTACAAGAGGTACCTGGTGGGTGGTGAAGAGAATGGCAGAGGTGGATGGTTAACCACAGAGAAGGTGCAGTAGAACAGGGTGAGGGGTTTGGTTTTAGGAGACCTGGGCTCAACTCCCAACTCGGCCACATATTATTTGTGTTGACTATGAGCAAGTCCCTTAACCTCTCTGAGCCCCATTTTCCTCATTTGTAAAATGGGAATAAAACTTGCCTTGCCTGTTACAGGGTTGTAAGGATAAAAATGCTTTATAAACCTTTGATAACGATAGTTATGATAACTATAGCGCTTTAAGGTTTGCAAAGCAGTTACAAATATTATCTCATTTGACCTTGAAGGTAGGTACTATTATCCCCATTTCACAGATGAGGAAACTGAGGCAGACAGTGGTTAACTGATTTTCCCAGGGTCACACAGTTAATAAGGGCCTGAAGCTGATTTGAACTCAGGTCTTCCTGACCCAGTGTTCTATCTGTTGTGGCACTTAGCTGCTT